AGGTGTATTGTTAGGGAGCTGGGTTGGAAGTAGAGCAGCCAGGACTTGAACCAGCACCCAAATGTGATATGGGCATTGCAGGCAGTGGCTTAACCCACTATATACCTTGCTGCAAAAAATTGAAATCCATGCATATTTTTATAATGCACACTTTCCATAAACTTCTTGGAGACCTCTCATATATATGGAACATATCTCACACACACACACACACACATACAAAGAGACTACATGGTGCTTTTCAAAACCAATCACATATTTTAGAAAGATAAATTTGTTAGAAATACAAATCACCAAAGCTGTTCTCCTCCCCTAGAGAAATCTGACCATTTTAATGTCCTCAGCATAAATGCACCTGGCTCTTTTCCAGCAGGCACAATACCAAGGTAGTGTCTCAAAGACAAACATACTTTTGTGGTAGATAACTGTTTTTCTGGCCTCTGAATAGCTGTGGTCACATTCTCGTGACGAAAATTGAGGCCTATTTTGCCAGTTATTCTATCTTTCCAGAGTAGGAAAATTCCTACCCTAAGGCACAGGAATTAAAGTTCCTAAAGGAAATCTCTTCTTTATTGCCATTAGGAGGGTGCCCCTGCCTCAGATTCTCACCTTTAATGACAAGCTAGCTGTGATGGGACCTCTACATTACTTTCTAGAATCTGGAGTGTGTGTGTGTGTATGTGTGTGTGTGTGTTTGTCTCCCAACACCCTTAAGTGTACATGAATAGATACAACAGAATTTAACCATGGGTTACACCAACCTGTCTTAAAGACTCCCTCATTCTCGTCAATTCTCCCATCTTGAGTTTGTCATGTTACTTATTCCACCATAATGAAGTATTGATGAAATCTCTGCTCTTTATCTGGCACTATGCCTGTTACTATGCATGCAAAGATTCTTTCTTCACTTACTCCTGCCTATACTATCATGTACTATTTGAGATGCATAAACTGAAGATTGCCCCATGGGAAGGCTTACAATCTTCTTTTCTTTTCTTTGCAATTTTCAGAGGCAGTTCTTAAAATGCATCTCTTATTTATGCAATTCATCTTGGGTGTATCAATATTTCACCTTATTTGAAGCCAAGAACAAAGCACACAATTCCCCTTGAATCATTTTTTGTAACAAAGCTGCCTAATCTCGTGTCATGTCAACAGCCGTGCATTGAGGCCAAGGGCCACCTGTGTGACACTTGTCTAAAATGGAGTCCTGTGATTACATGGGAAGAATGGGGTTCACGCTTCTTCATATCAGTAGCTCTTTTTCCTTGACATAGTAAAAATGTACTGATAACTAGATGGGACAAATATATCAAAGAATATATGTGAAAATAGTTGCAAAAGTTGAAATTCTGATATAATTATCAGAATTAATTTTTTTAGTTTTAAAAATTGATAGAAACTTTGGCATCTGGCTTCAAAGATTAAAACCCTTGGAAAAGAGTGTTTTATTTTGTGAGTTGGCCTAGTTGTAGCTCCTTTCTCACTGTTTAATTTCACTAATACAGAGCTCTTTATATATCTGTGTTTGACTTGAACTTAGCATACATATCACTTAAATACGGAGTTTTGGAGTCAAATCCTGAGCCTGTTATGTAAATCCAATTCTTTATAAAGCAGAAGGACATCTGACTGTAGTTTTGACACTGAACATGTTTGAGTACATATTTTAGAAATTTTAATGCAAATTATTGTGTCAGTTTGGGTTGTTCCAGAACAAATATTAAGTTAAGGATTAGAAAACAAGCCGGCGCAGCGGGTTCTAGTCCTGGTTGGGGCGCCGGATTCTTTCCCGGTTGCCCCTCTTCCAGGCCAGCTCTCTGCTGTGGCCAGGGAGTGCAGTGGAGGATGGCCCAAGTGCTTGGGCCCTGCACCCCATGGGAGACCAGGAGAAGCACCTGGCTCCTGCCTTCGGATCAGCGGGGTGCGCCGGCCGCGGCGGCCATTTGAGGGTGAACCAACGGCAAAGGAAGACCTTTCTCTCTCTCTCTCTCTCTCTCTCTCTCTCTCTCTCTCTCTATCACTGTCCACTCTGTCAAAAAGAAAAAAGAAAAAAAAAAGAAAACAATGTATTTGGCGTTCAAGCTGTGGCACAGTAGGTTAATCCTCCATCTGTGGTATGGGCTTCCCATTTGGATACCGGTTCTAGTCCCGGCTGCTCCTCTTCCCATCCAGCTCTCTGCTATGGCCTGGGAAAGCAGAAGACAGCCCAAGCACTTGGGTCCCTGCACTCATGTGGGAGACCTGGAGGAAGTTCCTGGCTCCTGGCTCAGCTCCAGCCATTGCGGCTGTTTGGGAAGTGAACCAGCAGATGGAGGACCTTTTTCTCTGTCTTTCCCTCTGTCTGTGACTGTACCTCTCAAATAAATAAAATCTTAAAAAAGAGAGAGAGAGAGAGAGGGAGAGTGAGAGAGAGAGAAGAAAACAGCATATTTGAGAAAAGATTCCAAGTAAAACTATTAATTGGTGGAGGAAGAGACATGGAATGGAAGAAGATAAAGGTTTTCATCCAGCTGGTGGCCACTGTGGGCAACCAGGGCTCCTGTCTGGCTGGGGAAGTTAGGGAGACAGAGAACAAGCTTCAGTGTTACCACTGGAGTGGGAGGAAGCTGTGCTCCTTATTGTCCAGTTCTCATGCGTAATTGGCCAGGGGCCATTATCAAGGGACACTAGGTCCTCAGGAGAAGACTTGTAGGTGCTGAGGTCATGGCCATGTTGGCATGAACTGCAAAGATGAGCGTCAAGAGAACATGGCCGTGACTCAGCTTCCTCTGTAAAGTACATTGACCCGTTTCTCTAGCCCGTTTTCTGTACGGAGAGACCAAAGAAGATTCCACTCACTCTTTTTTGTTTGAGTTCTTCTATTTTTTGTTCTCCCGTGTTCACTTCTGTTTTATTACAACTATCCAATTTTAGTCCCCATGTTGTAAGTGTTCTGTGCTCCTTATTTTCATTAAGTTTGGTTTTCTTGCACTTCATTTTTACTCTGTAGACTTTCCCATTGCCTTTTTTATTTGTGTTTGATTGATTCTTGTAGGAATGACTCTTGTAAATAAGACTAAGAAAGTCGATGTTTTTACCTATAGGAGGAGTGGAAAATGCAAAAATAGTATGCATGGATTTCAACTGTTTGCCCCCCAAAAATTTACCTTGTTTATCCCATTTTTCATGAACATTTTGAAATCACCCTCCTGTTACCCAACCATTGGCTGGTTGTGAGCTCTATTGCTGTTACCAGCTCCACCCTTTCACTACTTGTGTGAACTTGATTAAATTTATAGTTCAGCTGTGTAAGCCTCATTTATGTGCAAAATTGTGCTAATAATAGAAACTTTGTAATTTCTTGTTGGAAATCACAGTAAGTCAGAGTAATTTTTGACATACAGTAAATGTTCCATATGTGCCATTCATTATTGCTGGTGTTGCTATTTGAGATCATTATAATGATATACAAGGGTTCTTCAAACATCTATGGAAAATACATGAAGTCCTTTTATTTCATTTTTCCACAAACCATTTGAAGTTCCCTGATACTACTGACTGCTCTGCCCAAAGTATTCAGCAAGTACACCATTTGTCATGAGCAAATGTTATGTCACGATGACGATCAGAATGTCACACTTGAGAGTAATAATCATTTTCTCATAGGATTATTATTTTTATATACGAATTTCATGTATTTCCTACAGATTCAGGAACATAGTGATAATTTCTACCCTACCCTCTTGCCCACTCATGTTCCCACCCTTCTTCCTCCTCCCTGTCCTATTCCCATTCTTATTTTTTACAAAGATCTATTTTTAGTTAAATTTATACTTGTAAGATTAACCCTATGCTAAGTAAAGAGTTCAACAAACAGTATGAAGAAAAAAAAACACTGTTCCTCAATAGTCAAGACAAGGGCTATTCAAAGTCATCACATCTCAAAGTGTCAATTTCATTCTTACAGATTACCTTTTAGGTACTCTATTAGTTACCACAAATCAGGGAGAACATATGGTATTTGTCTTTTTGAGACTGGCTTATTTCACTAAGTATAATGGCTTCCAGTTGCATCCATGTTGTTGCTGGTAAGAGAGTTAGTTATAAGACAAGGTGTGTAGTGAGCCTGGTACTCAGGAGACACCAAGCACATGCCTTGTCCTTTTTCCTTTCCTTGGGATATCTGCCTTAAATCTAGCATAGTATGAAAGGTGATTTTATGAAGAATTCCTTATGTATTTCTAGAAATCTGGCCTTCCTAAGTGTGGAAGGAGTTGAGATGTGCTGATGTTCATGTCTTGCTGAGCTGATTAAGATGAAGCTCCACTATCCTTTCTGAAATGTCTTAGGAAAGCTGTGACTTACTATTTTTTTTTTTTTGGCCTCTCACTGTACAGTTCAGGATGCTATATGTGTGACATGTGATTATGAGCTTAATATGAGGGTGAATATCCTTTATCCAAAAATGCTTGTGGCCAGAAATCTTTCAGATTATTTTCAGAGTTTGGAATATGAGGGCACTTCAAAATATCCATGGAAAAATAGAATTAAAAGATGTTTGTTTTAGAACAAAAAAAAATCCCCCTGAAATCCATGCATATGAAGAGTGTGCCTAAAGTTCATAGAAAAACATATTATGAAAAATATGCATGCATTTTTAAAAACTGCACCAAAATAAACATTTTAACTCCACTTTTTCATTAGCCTTTTGAACCACTTCCATATTTGCATATATATAATACCTTAAGGATGTGATCCAAGTCTAAACACAAAATTCTTTGATGCTTCATATATACCTCACTCACATAGCCTGAAGACAATGTTGTATAATATATGTAGTAATTTTGTGCATGAAACAGTTTCACGATGTATGACCTTCCACTTTGTGGTGGTGTGCTGATTCTCAAAATGTTTGATTTTGAAGCATTTCAGATTCAGAGTTTTGAATTGGGGATGCTCAGCTTATGGGTTGTTTCCATAAAATATGTGGAGATGTTTTGTGTTTTCGTCTTTTTCAGATTTAATTGTGGGAGCATTTGGAAGAGGAAAAGTAGCAGTTTACAGGTATGTAGTTGGTGATATGTAGATGTTCTCCTAATTGCTTTAAATGCATTGCTTTTAAGTTGTTAGCTTTGCCTTTAAAGAGCATATTTCAACTATTTATTCTGGAGAATATCTAGATGCTCTCTTTAAAGTCTGGAAGTATTTTTACTCTCAATTTTTAATCTTTCTTCCATTCTGTATCTTTATTCTTATACTTCATGACCAAAATTCCAGCCCCTACTAACATAGCATCAAAGAAGATAAGAAACTCAGCAGAATTTATTAAATGACCCACTTTTTGGATGTTATTGTATTTGGCTTCTTCTTTCTTTGGAAATACATTGAAATGTGCACCTGTACAGAAGGGATGCAGAGTGGGAGAATCTTACTATTTACCCTGGCTTCTTCTTCTTTTTAAAAAGATTTATTTATTTATTTATTTGAGAGGCAGAGTTACAAGAGATAGGAAGAGACAGAAAGAGATCTTTCATCCACTAGTTCACTCCCCAAATGGCTGCAATGGCTGGAGCTGAGCTGACCCAAAGCCAGGAACAAAGAGCTTCTTCCAGGTCTCCCACATAGGTACAGGGCCCCAAGCACTTGGGTCATCCTTCACTGCTTTCCCTGTCATTAGCATGGAGCTGAATTGGAGGTGGAGCAGCCAGGACTCGAATCGATGCTCATATGGGATGCTGGTGCCACAGGCAGAGGCTTAACCTCCTACACACAGCGCCGGCCCAATCCTGGCTTCTGTAATCAAGTATGGACACTAAGTTAGGGAATAGAACACACCATGAGTTGGATAGCCTCCAGGAAACAAATACTAAACAGCAATTCAAATGCAACAAATCTGGATTCAAAACCTAGCCGTTCACTGCTTTGTAAAGTTGGGCAAGTTCCTGTGACTGAGCCTCAGATTTTTCATCTGTCACTTGAGGACAACAATAGTTATTTTATCAGGTTACTTTTATTTAAAGGATCCAGGAAGGAAGTGCAGGAAGGTACATGGAAGAGTAACTGGTCTGATACGTGATGCTCAAAAATGTTAGGCTCTATTTAAAAAAATATATAGGGGGAGTTTGGCACAGCAGTTAAAATGTTGCTTGGGACACCCTCATCCCATACAGGAGCACCTGGGTTCTAGTTCCAGCTCTGCTTCCTCTCCAGCTTCCTGCTAATGCACACCCTGGGAGGCAGCAGGTGATGACTCAAGTAAATAGGTCCCTGCCACCCTCATGGAAGACCCAGATGAAACCTGTAATCCTGGCTTCAACCTAGCCCAGCCCCAGCTGTTGTGGGCATTTGGGGAATGAATCAGGGGATGGGAGATCTCTCTCCCTCTCTCTCTCTCTTTCTCACTGGCTCTGCCCCTTAAATAAAAAGAAGTAAATAAATAACACTGTAAAAATACATTTTTATAGGAGCTCAAGATACTACGTCAAGGTTATCAAGACAAAAGGCAAAACACATACCTAGCTGTCCTGGGAATGTAATGCTAATGTACTCAGCTCCCAGAGAGAACCTAAGAATTTTCTTCTTCATCAGTCCCAGGACACACTCAAAGAGGATTAATTTAGACCCGCTGTTCCTCACTTTAGGTTCTAGAGAGTCAGATGGTTGAAATTCCCAAGTCTCTGGAATATGGGGCTTGGGTTTGTGCTGGGCATGAAAGTGAGCCGCTAGGAGCTGCTGAAGCAAAACTGAGTCCCTAGGCGCCGAACAAGCCATTGCCTTTGTGCCAGGGCCATGTTTTTAAGGGCTGCTTCCAGCCAATGACTGGGCACACAAGGACATTTATGCAAGACTATGTTTGCAGACAAGAAACTCCTCTCATGGACGGCATAGGCTCACGGACATCGCTTTGTCCTGGCTCAAACTTTCTTACCCAGTCCAAGAACCTCTAGCCTTCCACCCCCACCCCACCATTTTCTCTTATGTATTTGCCCCAATAAGTCACTTGCATGTCTAGTCCCATTTTATCATCTGCTTTCCCAAGAACTAGAGCTAATATAATATTAACAAAGCTTAGATATATCACACTGAAGATCTTAAAACTCCCAATATGGTAACTTTGTGGTAATCACTAAATTGTTCCGAGTACGGCATTCAACAACATTCTGCTCCAAGACAGACCTTCCTACGGTCGAGGGAGACTTGTGCAACATGGCGTCGTTGCATGCTTTCTGGAAAATTTGGCTCCCAGCTCTCCTCCCTTAAAGCCAAACTTTTAAAATTGCTTGGCTTCTTTTCCTTCGTTATTTAGTCTCTTGTCACTATCCTCACCTGGGTGGCTGGACTGGCGCTTCCTCTATATCAGTCTTTCTCCTCAATTTTGGCCTCATTAGAATCCTGTGGAGGACTTGCTTCACATTCCAATGCTTGGCCCTTACCCTGAGGTTCTGGTTCAGTTGGTGCATGCCGGGGCCTAGCATAGGATTTGTTTCAAAGCACCACAGGTGGTTACATTATACAGTCAGGATCGAGAAACTTCTCTGGATGAAGCACAGGATCATCCTGGAAATCCACCTTCAAGTGTTGAGCACAAAGCTCAGTTAGGAAATTACCAGTGTGGCCGGTGCCGTGGCTCAATAGGCTAATCCTATGCCTGCGGCGCCGGCACACCGGGTTCTAGTCCCGGTCGGGGCACCGGATCCTGTCCCAGTTGCCCCTCTTCCAGGCCAGCTCTCTGCTGTGGCCCGGGGGGTGCAGTGGAGGATGGCCCAAGTGCTTGGGCCCTGCACCCCATGGGAGACCAGGAGAAGCACCTGGCTCCTGCCTTCAGATCAGTGTGGTGCACCGGCAGCAGCGCGCCGGCCGCGGCGGCCATTGGAGGGTGAACCAACAGCAAAAGGAAGACCTTTCTCTCTCTCTCTCTCTCTCTCTCTCTCACTGTCCACTCTGCCTGTCAAAAAAAAAAAAAAAAAAAAAAGAAAATTACCAATGTGGCAACAAAACAAAACCTAGAAAATTCAAGGACAGACATAAGTAGCTACGCAATGAAGTATGTCCTCAAATATGGATATAGCTATTCTAGCAGGTTGCCGCACAGTGTCTCCCAGCAATATTGTCACCACAGGTTGAGCCCACTCCACAAAGGCAGGTGTGTGAATGTGACCATGCTTGCCAGACCCATGCATTCTTCTTTTGTGTTCATGTGCAACCAGACCTGTTTAGAGGTAGGTAGTGGAGTGAGGTGCCCCCCTGTTCATTCAGTGAACACAAGGCATGACACAAAAGCTGGGAACGTTGGCTCTGGCCCCTGGAACTGGTTGCTCCCTGTTCATGTGGTTCATTCAAACCTGGGTTTTCTCCCCACAGAGCAAGGCCAGTTGTGACTGTGGATGCTCACCTTCTGCTGCACCCAATGATTATCAATCTTGAAAATAAAACTTGCCAGATTCCAGACTCTATGACCTCGGTGGCCTGGTGAGTTGGTCCAGTGTTGCTCAAACTTTAGTGCACGCTCACATCACCTGGATATCTTGTGAAAAAGGCAGATTAGGGTCCAGAAATTCTGGAGTGGGGCCTGCAACTTTGCATTTCTAGAAAAAACTCCCAGAGGATGCTGCTGCTAGCCTGTGGACCAAGTTGGAGTAGCAAGGAGTTAGTCTTTTGAGAGAATCTATGACACGATGCTAGTCTTTGGCTGCCGACTTAGCTCATGAAGACTGCCTCTCCAAGCTGTAGGCTCCTTAATCTCCCTCTCTCATCTGCAGGCTTCAGTCTTCTAAAATGAGAAGCATAAAAACACTGGGGGACATTCCAAGTGAAACAAGTCTTAGAGATCTCTTTTAGATTCTTGGCACACTACAATAAATGTTAACCAAACAAATAGAGCAAAATACTTTGACTTTTGCATTTGAATGTGCTTATGGATACCACTTGGTAGACACATAAAATATCCTCTTTTTTTGATAAAAAAAGAAAGAACTTGGATTAAATGATCCAGTTTCCTTGCCAAAAACAGATATCAGTTTTGTAACTTATCACGTGCAACCAGACAGAAGGAAAACATTATAAAAAGAAACTTTTGTGTCCTAAACTGTGTTTTCATGGCACTGCTGTCACCATCAGCTGTGGAATTACAATTCCTGTGCCTCGTTTAGAACACGTCTTAGACAGCCTCTGAAAGGCTTGCTTCTGAATTCTGTCATCTGAAGGAAGCCCAACGTGGAACTGGACCGTAACACAAGTCAAGAAAATACCACCTAGTTTCTCAGTATGCAAGAACTCAAGGGTCAGAAGTCATTATATTGGGTAATGCCATTAGGATATGGCCTCTGAAAAATCAACAAATCGTTGGGGCATTTGAGGTTTCCCCTCATTTTCCAGATGTGGTTTAACACAGACAGTATGTTCAGTTCCTGAGAATGTCAGAAGCCAGAAAAAGCCAGCCTTGACCCAAAAGAAGCTATTTCCAGCCAACTATAGCATGTTGCTGAGGGCACTAAGACCAGAGTTCACATCACAGTCAGAGCTTTTGAGGTTGGAGGGTGGGCAGTAAGGAGAACCCTGAAGAATTCTTTGAAAACATCCTGGTGCTGGGAGCCCCCAGACTGGGGAGCTATGTCCTGTCCTTTAATTGCTTTTGGAAGTTGTAGATGGGAAATGCCCTCAGCACATTTTTAAATGACTTAAAACCATAAAATCGTATAATGAAAACCTGATCTGAGAAAATATGTGGACTAGCCAGTAATTCTTCTTCCCCTGGCATGATTAAGTGAACATCAAATGAACTGTGAGTGCTACTTGACCACGAGTCTTAAAACCTTAGTATTCCCCCAAATAGACGTCTGCCCACACCTTCATAACTGAGCGGACTTCTAGACTAAATTCTCTCAAGTATACCTGGCCCACTCTGGTACAAAATGTTGTTCTTTTAAACTAGATAATTTTTTCTAAGGAATTTTACTTTTACAGACACTTTTGTAAGATTTAAGTGATTTTAACAGATTATGGCATCTGGTTTTGTGGAAAGAACATTATTTTTCAAGAAAAAATTGGCTTTCTTTTTCCTTGTTTCATTAAATTGTATTATGGAGACAAAATACAATCTGTCATATACACAAATGCATATATTCCTTTGCTGTTATTTATTTGATTCTATGATGTACATTTTCTGAAAGATGTTTTATTTTCACATGCAAAAGTTTCGAATGGCGCCTCAGAGTATTAGAAGACAGAAAGCTAGCTCAGGGAGGATGTGTTTTCTGGTTCTTTTAAAATTATTATTCTAGAAATTTAACTTAGTTTTTTTTTTCCAAAATGATTGAAAGAATCTTGTTGATTTTCTTTGCTGTTCTTTTTTTGCCTGTATTTGAAATAGCCTCATATTGTACATCTATAAGCAATAATATAAACTTGACTGGGCAAAAATTCTTCACTGCCATCAATACAAATTTCCGTGTCTTTCAAACAGCTGTGTAGCCTTATAAAGTATCTGCCAATGGCATTTTTAATTGGAAAAGAGCTACCTCAGTAAATGTTAATTGGTTACCTAACCAATAAGAACAAACTGTTTAGTAGAAATTTTCATTTTATAAATGTAAAAGTCAGTAACTGTGTCAGAAATGAAAGCAGGTACAAATGAGTTTAGGTAAAATTTGCTATCTGCAGTCATTGAAACAGGACTGAATTGGTAAGAATGGATAACAAGGGAGCAGGCATTTGGCCTAGTGCTCAGGAGACCCGCATCCCACATCTGAGCGCCTGAGTTCGAGTCCCAGCTCTGGCTCCTGACTCCAGCTTCCTGCTGATGCAGACCCAGGGAGCGGTGGTGGTGGCTCAGATAGTTAAGATCCGGCTATGCAGGAGGAAACAGGTGTTCCCTACTCCCAGATTCAGCCCTGTCCCAGTCCTGGCCATTGCAGGCATTTGGGGAGTGAACTAGCAGGAGACAGGAATGTGTTTTCTTTTTCTCTCTTCTCTCTCTCTTCCCTCTGTCTCTCCCTCTGCACCATATTATCTGTGGCTCAAGTAAATAAAATTTAAAAAAAAAATTATTCAAAGAACAATGAATCCCTTTGTACTTTTAAATCATGTTTCACATCTAGCTCATTCCCTATCCATCATGCATACCTATGAGCACATCATAAGCTCATTATTCCAACTGTATGGGGGCTGCAGCTAGTGTTAGAGTCCTGCTCTCTGATCTTGGTAGAAGCTCTATTCACAGTTTCATTTACAGCTTACGTGATGAGAGGTGTGGGTTATTTAATGATGATTTGTCCCAATCATATGTATTCAGAGACTAATTATGGACCACATTGAATGATACCATAAATTCCAGTTTGAAATTTTAATTCAGATTTAATAATAGTTCACAGCTTTCCTGAAAACCCATGTGTACTTTGTAATTAAGTATAGATCTGCAAGTAGACCTAATTCTGTGCTATATAGGACACATGATATATGTTTATATATAATATATATGTTCTTCTAAAATCAGTCTGAATATCAGTCCATTACTATAAAATGTAGAGATTTTCTTTTTATACTCTTGGGAACTTATGACTTGACAAACTGTTTTCTGCTAACGATATCTATAAACTGGCAAGTTTAAATTGGACTACCATTATCAAGAATCTTGTAAGTGGTAGCAGTTCTATGAAACTTGTATAAAGAGAGGCAAAGTCACCAGTTGCCAGTGATATTGAGGTAACAGGAAGGGGAAACAAAGAAATCTAGATTTACACTGACATATTATTCATAAATTAAGAGTAATCCTTCACTGATAATAACATCACTTATCAAATGCCTTCTCACAAAAGTTCATTTTCATACTTTTATTTCTGTTGCAAACATTTCGAATTGTTTGTATTAGAGAAGTTATTGTACTTAAATTTTAATTTATATGTGGTGCTAATTTTGTTACAAACAGGAACTTATAAAAGCAAGTGAGCTTTGCTAGGTAGTGTAATGAAGAATTAAAAAAAAAAGGGGGGGGGGTCAATGGATGATTTTCACACAGCTAAATAATCCCAAACAAGTTGGATACAGAAAAATTCCATGTTTGGAAGCCTGCTCTACTACAAAATTTAAAGATATGATTAGCTAATCATCACTCTTAAATAATTCTAATTGAAGCACAAGTGGATTGGATTTGTGATTTCCTTGGGGAAGTGCTATAAACACTCATAATGGCATAGGCAGCTCAGGAAAGTTCTGGCTTAATGGTATGTGGCAAATTATATGCCCTGAAGGGAGACACGGATGGCAGTCATGGTAGACAGATGAATCCCAGATGTGACATGTCTTCATTATGTTTGACACGGGAAGCTGCCACATAACTAAAGTATGATTAGGGATCATTTACTCCTTTAGAATTCTGTAGAAGTATCAGATCATACTATAGATGTATCAGTCAAAACCTCAAGATCATCATTAAATCATACTTAAGTATTTTCTTATTTTTCTACTTTCTTACAAATTTGAAAAGACTCCATCTTTAATACTGTTAGGGCTTGGAATTTTTCAGGAGATAGGTGAGAACATTCAGTCAGGTGACGCAGAGTCAGTCGGCCATTTCTCATCCCCTCCATGGCTGCAGACCAGGGTCGAGTACAGGTCATCATACCAGCCACAGTAGGCATTGCCTTGCATTGTGGGTAGGGCGAGGTTCAAAGCAAAACTAGAAAGTGTCCCTGAGGGCATCTACCCTCCCTAACTTTCTCCATACCCCACACTGTGTCTACCCAGCTTGCCACAGCACCTTTTCAGCTCCTGTTTTCTTTCTCCCCCCAATCTCTTTCACTGTCTCTACCTTTAACTCCACACCCTTTAGCACGACTTCCGTAACTGTCCCCACCCATGAACCAAGCAAGCCTCCCCTCCTCCAAATTCCCCGTCTCTCTTGATGCTGCAGCCACATTGAATTTCTTTAAATTTCTCAAGTGGGAACACATCCTCACTCCTCTCCAGGCTTTCCTGCTAGTATTACCTTGCAATGCTGCCTAATTCTTCATTCCCCAGCACACGGAGATATGTGGAGATATATGTTTATTGAATAAAGGCAGCAAGTACTCAATTGATTACAAGTTAAATCAGGTTATTTCTAGTCCTTTCCAGTTATCACCTTGCTATATAATAATGCCATAATGGGAGATTATATGTGAAATTACATGTATAGAGAAAAAATAATATATTTATTTTACCTGGGATGAGGAAAAGGAAGATTTCTACTGCAGAGTCAAAGCTATTAACCAATTAATTTTTGACTATTATTTTTCCATAGCTTTGCTTTAAGAGTGTGTGCATCTGTAACAGGCCAGAGTATTTCAAATATCATAGGTGAGCATGTTTTACTTTTAATTTGTTTTCCACTTTCCAAGTGGGATTTTATTTTTTCTTTTTTAAGGAATTTGTGAATACAATATCCCTATACCATATTAAGAAAATTCAATGTAAGCATTTCTCCAAACAGACATTAGAAAACCAAAGAATCCATTGTCAACACCAAGATTTCTATTATGTATATGGAAACGGCTATATATAAAATATGACTTCAATAATTAGTATTGGCCGGCGCCACAGCTCAATAGGCTAATCCCCCGCCTTGCGGCGCCGGCACACCGGATTCTAGTCCCGGTCGGGGCGCCGGATTCTGTCCTGGTTGCCCCTCTTCCAGGCCAGCTCTCTGCTGTGGCCAGGGAGTGCAGTGGAGGATGGCCCAAGTACTTGGGCCCTGCACCCCATAGGAGACCAGGATAAGTACCTGACTCCTGCCATTGGATCAGTGCGGTGCGCCAGCCGCAGCGGCCATTGGAGGGTGAACCAACGGCAAGGGAAGACCTTTCTCTCTGTCTCTCTCTCTCACTGTCCACTCTGCCTGTCAAAAAAAAAAATAATAATTAGTATTAATAGTATATGTAAAAACAGATATAAATATCTGAAAAAGTGACAATGTGCATAAAAGCATTTCAAAACAATTTTAACTCTGGGAATACTCTACAAGACTTTTGTAGCTCATGCATAAGGGGTCTTCAAAGTGTTCATGGAAATGCTTAGCATGAAAAAATTATGCACCAACGCAAACATATTTTAACTCCACTTTTCTATGAGCTTTTCAAAGTACTCTCATATTGTGTTTGATCCCAAATATGAAACACCAGTTTCCCGAATAAACAACGGAAACAGGGGAATCACCTCTCTGGTAGATCACTGTGTTCATGAATGCGTTTCTCTCCTGATTACATTTTGTGATCTCTGTCCTTTAGCCCTGACGGCCGAGGTGCACTTAGATTCTCTGAAACAAAAAGGCGCCATTAAAAGAACACTCTTCCTGGAGAACCATCAGCCCCATCTCATCTTCCCTCTTGTGGTAAACCGGCAGAAATCCCTCCACTGCCAGGACTTCATCGTTTACCTTCGAGTAAGTGCTGCCGAAATGTCTGTTCTGACATCTCACGTCCAGATCCAAGATTCCAACCATTTTTCTCCATTTAACCATCATATTTGTCCACGTTAGATCCCAGTCTATTTTCATTTTCTTAGGAGGGAACTTTATTTTAAGGGCGAATGCTTTCTTTTTGACCCTGACTTCCTAATGACATGTTGTTACTAATTCCAAAGGTTTCTTTTTGTTTAGAACAAAATCTTGATAATAGCACTCAACTCAGGTGGTTTTCATTTCTTACTGCCTTCCCCCTAAAACATAAAAGTCCAACACAATTTATTTGAATTTTTATCCTATGTGAGTATGTCTTGTTAGATTTTATCAATGCACAGTTCAGAGCCAACTCAGGAAACCATTTAGGCATTCAAAGCTTTTATTGAAAATAATTTATACTTATCTTTTTAAAGGTATTTTTACAGTAATTCTAAAACCTACCATGAAACTTAAAAAGCCAAAATATTTATCACACAATTTCCATCCTTGCTAGTTGTTATGTAGTAATCACTCATTCTGACTTCTTGTCCTCCTTTAAGGGGTGTAGTTAGCAAGGGGACCTCTGGGAAGCCCCAAGGTTCACAGCGCTCGTGAAAATTTGCATACGTGACCCTGTGTCTTCACATGACCCTGACTGGCACACAGTGAAGGGTGACGTGCCCACTGCTAGGTGCTCCTCCCACCCGTCTTCATTTTTAAACATGAAGGTGTTCTGAAGTTTGTGCAAGCAACCGCTGACAGAGATGAGTCAGGAAGAGATTAGGATGTTGTCTTCCCCTAAACCTACAAATCCTGGCAACCTCCTGAAAACAAAAGTCCTAACTCATCATGGTTTGCATGACGTCTATGGCATAGAAATAGTCTTTTACTTTGTGCATTAACCAATTCTGTGTGAGCTGGTGAAGGTCTGAAGAACCTGAAGACTGCTCTAGAAGCATCTCTCAGTGAAGCCACGGCTGTAGAGGGGTTTATGATGGAACACGGATGAATTACACCAGCTACATCACGTACATCAGCATGCTTTCCAGCCTGCTGCAAGGACCATGACGCCTTCGTCCCCTTTCGGGGACGACAGTCACACGTCGCCCACTTTTGCAGCCTATCACCTTGCAGCCCATTCATGGAGCTTCTCTTTAGTCTGTGATTATTTTTCCTAGGATGAAACTGAGTTCCGAGATAAGTTATCGCCAATCAATATTAATTTGAATTACAGTTTGGATGAATCTGCCTTTACGGATGGTCTGGACGTGAAACCAATATTGAACTACTATAGGGAGAACAGTGTCAGTGAACAGGTACGTTCCTCGATGGGCTGTGACAGCGTTCGGAGGGGCTGGGAGTGCTCTCGGGACCTCCAGACCAAAAGCCACCTCCTTTTGCTCTCATTCCTGCACACAGACATGCAACATTCGGGATTTCCTCCCGGTGTGTTTCCTGAACCTCTGCAGCGCTGTGTTTCCAGAAGCCCTTTCTTTCCCTTGTGCAGCTGAGGTTTAATTGGTTCAAAGTGTGGCTGATGGAAGTGGCACAGGCTGTAATCCCAAAACCTTGCCAGAGAGCTAGATTCTTTACAGACATGTCAGAATGAGCTGGAGACGGGCTGTTCTGTAAACAAGCCTGCGCTGAGAGGCACGGTGCGACTTAGGGCTTACAGCTGGGGAGAGGCATGCGTAGTGAGACCGGAGGCTTGGTGTCATGGGTGGGATTCTCTGGGATTTTCGAGCGAAAGGGTGTGATTGGCGTTTTCCCAGATGATTCCTGATGTGTGTTTGTGTAATGTAACACAGGCTCACATCCTGGTGGACTGTGGAGAAGACAATCTGTGTATTCCCGACTTGAAGCTGGCAGCTCGACCGTAAGTTTCAATAGATAAGTGTGAGCATTATAGCTAATGGAGCTAGCTCAGGTATTCAGCTGAAGCTTCCCTGCAGCACGTAGACACTCCACCACCACCAGAAAACACACCGCGTGACATTCTTGAGCTCGCCTACTCTTTCGGTCACCCTTGGTTTGGGCCATCGCTTTATCATTGGTGTCAAGTGACACACCCTAAGGTTTTGTCTAGGCCGGTTCATCTTTCAACAACAGAGGGAAAACATGTTCTTGTTAGGAGTGAACTTATCTGTGGGGAGGCTCAGGTTGTATTTATTTGCTTCAGTCAAGTGGGCCAAGGGTACAGACAGGCTGCTTCCATCAAACCTTCAATAAGCTCATTTCACACCAGCCCATGACCCAAGGGCATCCTTGTAACTATCGAAGCAAAATTAACTTTATTTCACCAAAAAGGGGGGGGGGGGCCTTAAAGGCACTCTGTGGAGTAAAGGTGTCACAAACCAAGAAAGAATCAAGTGGCTCTCCCAGCTGTCAGCAGTGGGGAGCCTGTTCTCCAGCACTGGCTGCTGCTGCATTACCCCAGGACAGAAATTGGCCAGGGATGCAAAACATCCTGTCGCGGATGAAGCAGACCTGTGCTCCTTCCCCTGGCGGGAGCTCTCACTGCCAGTGTTCAGGATCTGCTTGGTAACCTCTTAAAGGGAATTTGTCCAAACTGCATAATTTAACAAGTAACCAAGGAAATAGCTTTGAGTCCAGGTCCAAGTGGAAGGGGCACTTCCAAATGTTGCTTTGATTTGGAGTTCCAGTGAATTAAGTTGCCTCCAAATCCTCCGTGAGCCGTTCAGGACCTAATTTTGTCAGCCTCGCTCTTCCCTCCTATCCACTTTGCACTGTTGTCCCCTCTTGGCTCTGAACCAGCTCTCTTCCTTTGTTCCCATGACCTGTTTTCTTCCTAACGGAGGTGTTTGGTGACATGCTGGAGTTGGCTCATTCTGGCTTTCCAAGCAATGTTAAATTTGCAGAAATCTTGCTGGGGTATTGTTAAGAATGTTTGTAGCTTGCAATCAACCATGGTGGGAGGGTTTATAGCGTTGGAATCAGCAAGTGCTCTAAGGTGATGCTCTTTGTGGAGCCTTGGTTGGTAAACACCTGCCAGCACCCTGCTCCATCTCTCCCTGCCCTTCCCATCCAGACATGGTTCTCTGACTTTTCTCACCACCCCTTCACGGTGATCCACCGTTTTTGTCATAGTCTTGTTCTCACCATTTTTCCTTCTTTTCCACCTACACAGATTCTTAAATAAGATGTTCAAGGAGGCAGAGAAGTTAGCTAATAATTATTTTTAAACTGCATTTTTAGAGATAAGCATCAGGTAATCATTGGAGATGAAAATCACCTTATGCTCATAATCAATGCAAGAAACGAAGGGGAAGGAGCCTATGAAGCCGAGCTCTTTGTAATGATACCAGAAGAGGCAGATTACGTGGGGATTGAACGCAACAACAAGGTAATGCATGCAAATTATTTGAAGCAAAGAGTTGGAAAAGATTTTTGAAGTCAAGTAGGGCCACATTAGCTGAGCGTTTCTTAACAAAATGATGTATTACTTTGTTAAATCCTAATAACAGTTAACCCATAGGGGGATGGGCTTACTCAGGATTGATGACTCCTCCTCCCCGCCCCACTTTGGCCCCACTGCAAGATCAACTGGCCCAAGACTGAGATCTGAAGTAAGGCAAAGAACAAACCTGGTTGACAGTGGCGGTTTATCAGTGTGATCAGTCAGCTAAATTCCCAGGCTAACTCCTTATCCTCACTGGCTTTCCAAGCCTTGCTTTGAGTTCCTTTAAGTTGCAAGCAGGTCACAGGAGGCCTGGTTTTCATTATTGGTTAGGGAAGAAGGTCCAGCCAATCCCTGCTGAGCACTGATAATAGCCTGGACAGGCACTGGAGAGAAAACAAGTTCATTTTTCTTCCTGCTTGGTCCACCTTGTCAGGACTGTGGCCAGCACAAGCCTGGTCTTCCTCATTTGCCAGTTCTCAACGCCACTGTTTACTGAAATGACACGGCTGCTGTTTATAATCTTCCCTTTGCTCTCCGAACATGACTCTTGCAACTGCAAGCATCCTTGGGTTCCACACTATTCTTAATGACTTGCTCTAGAAAACCATTATGAACACATTACAGGACAACAGAGGGCGTAGCTCAGTGTTGGAAAGCCACAGGCTCACAATTCAGTGTAGAGAGCAAGTTTCTCCTTGCTTTCATTGGTCCCGGTGCTCTTTAAATGTTTGCTAATGGATTTGTTCATTTAACTACAATTTATTAAACATCTATGAGCTTTCAAATATTGCATCCTTAGGGGAGCTTACACATTCTGGAGCTTGAATAATTTAATGAAAACAAATTCCTCTAAAAAGATACTAACTGTTGTGATGTTGGCATTTTTAAGACTTTCAAAAACAGCAGGAATATTAAATTCTCTAGTCATACTTCTTTTTTTTTATTGTTGAATGATCTTCGCAGTTTAAAAAAAAGGATGAGTAACAAACAAGTATCTTTGCAGTCATTTAAAATCGTTATGAATTTTCTATTGAAGAAATTTATCAAAAAAATCTCAACTCATCAATGTGTCCATTAAATGTGATTAGACTTTTGTATGTCAACCATATCCCAACAAAATACTTTCTAAGAAACAGTCCCCAAATGTTCTAACTGTTCCATGTCAGCAGAGAGTTGGAAAAAAGGGAAATTATTCCAACTTTTTTCAAGAATGTTTACAGCTTCCTAGCCTGTTTTCTTCTTTTTTTTTTTTCTTATTTCAAACATGAAAATCAATTCATGCCTTGATTTCCCAGTGAATTGACTGTAATCATCCCTTTTACTTAGTTCTGTATGTGATTTTTATACTCCTCAGTTCCCTGTTAAAGTCACTTCCAGGTATTTTTAAAATGAGAACAAACAATACACACGATTTATAAAAGTGGTCCTTAGTGCTATTCTGCATTAAAAAAGTCATCTCATAATAAAATCTCCACAAGCAAAAAAGTAAGAAAGAAAAACATCACCTACAAATACTTACATGCAAATAATAAACAACTCAAAAGTGAAGCTCAAGTGTGTTGTTTTTAAAAATGGTCCAGGACTCCACTCATATTTTTATTTCAATTCCCTTCGTGTCACTCCACCCCTGACTTCATTAAACAAAGCATGTATTCTAGAGTGTTCTTTTAGCAAAACATCCAGTGCAGTGTTCCCTTTGTTGCATGGAAAGCATGGGTGAGCACTTATCCTTCTATCTTTGGCTATAAACATTACGACAGACATTATCCATAATCTCAAAGGAGCCCTTCATGAATTTTCCCGCCATCAGTTTCCCTTGGGCAGACTTAACCTTACATGACTAAGCCACATTCTGATTTCTTCTTTGTGTTGTAATCAGTTTGAGATTTGTGCACATTGTTTATTTAAAATCAGTTCAAATGATGTTTAAAGCTTAGTTTCTTTCAAGAGGACACGTATTGAAACTCTGCAAGTTCGGCTGTCACTCTGTTGAGAGCATTTGTCTTGACAATGCTGTTATGTCTTGCAGAAGGTGTGGATACTCAGCATCCCTCTCTCTAGAAACGTTCATGGCAACAACTTGATATTTGCCTTTGGTGACCTTTCTCCTAAACTGCATAGGAATAAAGGCCTGAGTGCTTTGGTAGTAGCATTATAAAATATACATAGCACCAAGTTTACCACGTTAGCCATTTTGAGTGTGCAATTTAGTGTTCTTAAATACATTCACAGTGCTGTGCAGCCATCACCATCATCCACCACCAGAACTTTCCATCATCTCACACTGAAACTCTGCACCTCCTGTCCCGCTCTGCCCAGGCCCTGGGAGCTGCTGTTCTTCTGACTCTATGAATTGGCTCCCGAGGGACCTCATATGCATCTCCACCTGGACACCTCCCTTCATCTCTCCTTCAGCAAGTCCGGGACTAGACTTTTCATCTCGCCACACTTGAACTCACCCCCCGCCCCCGCCTTTCCTGTCTAGGAGAATGGCGCCAGCACCCACCTTTAGAAAAAGCCTGACTTCAGTCCCAAAACTGAGGTCCACATCCTTCTCCCCACTTAACTGCCACTGCCGCCGCCTTCAGCCAGGCGGGCCCAGTCTTCTCCCAGGTTGTGGCAGAAGTCTCCCAGCTCCTCTCCAGCCTCCCTGTGTGGCGTCCCTTCCCCTCAGAGCACAGCAGACTTCCCTTCTGAAATGCAAGCCTGACCAGGTCACTCCCTTGCTTAAAACCCTCACTAGCTCCGCTTTGCTTTTGGGATCAGATCCAAATCCTTGGGATAACTCAGGAGTCCCTTAGTGCATCACCCCGCTCACCTCCTAGCCTCATTGCTACTGCTTGGTCTTTCCTTTTCCTCCACACCTTAAATTCCAGCAGGACTGACTTTCTTTTCCGTTCGCAGAACTCGTATCCACTCTGGCCGCAAACAGCTTTCTCTGGCTGTTCCTTCTCCCTGACTCCCTCACTCTACTTCTGTTCCTCTCCATCTTGCTTACTTCGTTCTTCTTATTCTTCAGGTGGTAATAATCACTGAGCCTTCTTGCATTTACTGAACAGTTGCTATGGGCTGGGTACTGCCCTGAGCTCTTGCATGCACTTAATTTACTTAGTCCTTATAACATTCTCCATTAGGGAGAAATTGCTGTCATTAACCTCATTTTATAGATAAGGAGAAATTAAGTTGCACACCCATTGCTACACAGCTATTATGTAGCAGAACCAAGATTGAAACCTTGGCATTATGTTGAAGCCCCTGTTCTTAACCACTGATCTACACTACCTGAGCAACTTAGCTGCCACTTCCTCCAGGATGCCTTCCCTGATGGCTTACATCTGTATGTATGTCCTGTATGCACTTCAATATTTATTCCCCTATCATTAAACAAACCACACTATACTGTAATGTGTTTCCAGGCTTGATACAATTGCTTGTGATTATAATTGTTACAGTTGTTATAACACTTGGGAATCCAGTGAGGACAAGGGACTTATTTAGGGGCCTGGTGAATAGCAGGGCCACAGTAAATATTTTGAGTGACTGAATAAATGAATGAATAAACACTCCAAGAGCTATAAATGGATTAGAACAAGAATGTCCCTGGATTCGCTGAGGCAAATAATCTACAAATATCTCGAAAAACAATCACTGTGTCTCTTATCACAGAGAGGAAGTAAAGGTTAAAAAAAGAAAAAGGGTGAAGGGGATGTGGGTAGGAGAAAAGATCTTTAATGTCACTGAACTATTTCTAGAAAGCTGTAAAAATGTACATTTAACTTTTAGCTTTTAGGTAAGCCCAGAATACTTACCATATAACTAAATCTTTGAATTCTAATCAAGGGGACACATGGGCACTTCTGAACACTTTTGCTGGTGCTTTTTTTTTCCTGTTTTCTTGGTGAAGTTAATCATTTCAACACAATACATCTCTGTATAATGAGGGTTAATTGTGGGTCCTTAGACACTGAATACGAGCTAACCCTTCCTTTGTGAAAAGAAAAAGATTACCAGCTGTGGGGCAATAGGCTCCTGTCTATGAGATAACTCCCAGGTCATCCGTGGCACTGGGGAGGGAGGCATGTATGAAGTGGTGCCTGCAAATATCTGACATCCGTTAGAAGACGACTCCCAATGAGCAGCCTGCCTGGGTGACTGAGGGAGAGGACATCATGGTCCCATGCGTGTGTGCTCCTCCTCAGGAAGGAGAGGAGCTGCCTGGCTCCTTCTCCCCCCTCTCCCCCCCGCCACCTGTCACTGTTACTGAAGTAAACAGAAATGAATGGAGGGTCCTGTCTGAGACTTTAACTAGAAAAATTTGTTATTTCCTTATATAAAACTTCAATAGGGCTGATGGGTGGGTGTGTCAGCATACTGGGAACCGTCTTTCCAGTCACAAGGGCAGAAATTCCCAGATGGTGGCTCCTTGGTGAAAATCCCTATGTTGCAAGTTCATCTTTGGGGTGAGAGTGACAAGATAATACTGAAGATACTTTAGGAGTTAGAGGGGAATAATGAGAGTGTATAAGATGCTATCACGGCCGGCGCCGCGGCTCACTAGGCTAATCCTCCGCCTTGCGGCGCCGGCACACTGGGTTCTAGTCCCAGTCGGGGCGCTGGATTCTGTCCCGGTTGCCCCTCTTCCAGGCCAGCTCTCTGCTGTGGCCAGGGAGTGCAGTGGAGGATGGCCCAAGTGCTTGGGCCCTGCACCCCATGGGAGACCAGGAGAAGCACCTGAGTCCTGCCATCGGATCAGCGCGGTGCGCCAGCCGCAGCGTGCCAGCCGCAGTGTGCCAGCCGCAGCAGCCATTGGGGGGTGAACCAACGGCAAAGGAAGACCTTTCTCTCTGTTTCTCTCTCACTGTCCACTCTGCCTGTCAAAAAAAAAAAAAAAAAAAAGATGCTATCACTAAATGCAGAGCAGGACCACAGAACCATCAGGCTGTGAAGCATGGAGAGAAAACCGGGGCGGCCAACAAGTGGTGGCTTTCTAGGCAGCTGAGAGCAGCTCTGGGACGTGAGGTGGAGCTGGGAGCAGAGGGCGGCAGTGCAAAGACAACCCTGCTTCACGTCCCCTCCCACCAGCCCAACCTTGAGACCTTGGCAGTCTGTGGCTCCAACACCCCTGCAACCCTGGGTTTGTGCAGCTACAGGCAGAAGAGGAAACAGGGAAGGAAGGAGATTGGAAGCACTGGTTAAACAGGAGAGCGTCTTCCCTCGACATCTTAGGTGTTTTGGTGGATTGAGGAACCTGCATGGCCTCATCTCCAGAGGGGACCGTGTTGTGCAGAAATCTGTGCTCAAGGCAACTCTCTTGGGCTTTTGAGACCATCAGGACATGTTTTTGCCCTTTTGTTTCCCCAAGGTTAGCACAAGGAATGAGTTTGTTTCCTCCTCTTTTAATTGTTTCTGATCTTCACGTCCAGAGTTGAACACTGACATTAGTGGAAATGGTGTAGAAAATGTTCACATAAAAGCTGCCCTTTTCTTCCCCAGTGAGCGCCAACGATGTATTTGCCAACCCCACGTGTCTTCCTAAAATGTCACTTTTTTCTCAAGTTTCTCTTCGGAGCTCAGGGTCACACATCAACGTCTGTGCACCGTAACACGCACAGGTGTGTGAAGTTCAGGGATGCTCCCGGGCCCCCTGTGCTGCTCTCTGACAGGACAGAATTTACTCTGACCCCTGAACTGCGTGCTGGTTCTTTCTCTTTTATAGGGATTGCGGCCACTGAGCTGTGAGTACAAAATGGACAACGTGACCAGGATGGTGGTGTGTGACCTTGGGAACCCTATGGTGGCTGGAACAAATGTAAGGAAAACAAAGTATTTGCTGATTTCCATTTCATTGATTTTAACAGAAAACTAATGGAAAGCTCCCCAATTAGCACTCCGTCACTCAGCTCACAGCAGCTAAAACAAATTAGGCAGGATATCCCCAGGGTGAGGGCATTTAGCGTGAGGACCCGCATTGAGTGAATCAACTCAGGTGGCAAACACACAGAAAAGCAGTTGCCCAGGCTATCTTTTTAGACACAACTCCTATGTGACTGAATTGCAACGAATCTATGAAGAATTCTTTTTACAGCAGATATTTTTTATCAAAGCTTACTAAAGATTTTTTCTTTGAATTAACAAAGAAACACGTGGAAGTAGACTTTAAAATAACTTAATAGGACAAAGATTTTTAGCCAAGAAACCCACATTAACTTTTATTTCCAATATATCTCCTGAATGAATATCATTCATAATATTTTCATATTAAAATATTACTGTAATTCAGGGTTTCTATTTATTTATTTTCACTTTTTTATTTGAAAGGCAGAGACACAGAGAGAGATCCTCCACCTGCTGGTTCACTCTCCAAATGCCTGCAATAGCCAGGTCTGCAGAGGGCTAAGGCCAGGACCCAGGAATTCCTCCAGGTCTCCCACAAGGATAGCAGAGACTAAAATACTTGAACTGTCACCTAGTGCCTCCCTAGGTTTGCATTAGCAGGAAGCTGGATTGGAAGCAGAGCTAAGATTTGAACCCAGGCACGCTGATATAGGACACAGGCATCCCAAGGAACAGTTTAACTAACCTGCCAAATGCCACCCCTATAATCCAATTTTTTAATCAGGTTTACAGAGTCTATATTTTCTATTATCTCACTTAACTAACAAAAGAGAAAATTGTTAGTAGCAAGGGAAAGAAGAGGTTAACAGTGATTTCTGGCATGCTTGTAAAAGAACGGAAGTTGTTTTCCTCCTACTACTACTTCTTCCTTTTATTTCCAGGTTTAGGAACTTTCCATTCAGGATTATTTATGGATAATAAATTTTATGCAATTACAGTTTAAGTATACACATAATTATCACAGTGGTGATTATTTTATGAAGTCATAAATCAGAAAAAAGTCTGCAATATGAAATACCACTTAATTAAATCTTACATAAATTATACATATGTCTAATTAAAACTAATTGTTGGGAGTATTTAGCCTAGTGGTTAAAGTGCCTGCGTCCCACACTGGAGTGTCAGGGTTCGATTCCTGGCTCAGGCTTCAGATTCCAGCTCCGTCTAATGCAGACCCTGGGAAGCATGGCAGTAGCTCAAGTGACTGGGTTCCTGCCGCCCACATGAGAGACCTGGATTGCAGTCCTGGCTCCCAGCTTCAGCCCCAACCCACCCAGTGCTCTTACGTACGTTTGGGAAATGAACTAGTGGATGGGAGCTCCCTCTGTCTGTCCATTCCTCTATCTGTCTGTCTCTGACTCTATGTTGTCCTCCTGCCTCTTACATAAATAAAAAGGTTGTAATTTAAAGAGAAATGTTTATGATTATTAAAGATATAAACTGTCTGAAAAAAAATCATGAAAAGTTGTAGTTGCACAGGTTTGTATCAGACCAACTTTCCAAAGTGTATTCCAAAGGGTGCTAATCCCTTGGCTAGCCTTTAAAAGGGAGTGCTGTGGTCCCCACTGAGTATCACATCTTCCCTGGGAGCCCCAGGTACACATTTGCATTTTTAAGATGCCAGTAAATAAAACTTTCAGCCCAATGTTTCACACATTTTCTTGAGCATTTCAAACTTTTTCTCAATATCTATTCCCAATATATAGTTTAGGATACTATGCTAGAATAATATTTGCTTTTACACTATACTGTTGCATTGATTTGGGATATTTAAAAGATGTGTCAAACTATTGTCTAGTACACAGTCATTTCATGGCTCAAAAACTAAATAATTATTTAATGAAAGTGAAATTCCTGTAGCAGATAGTTACTGGTTACCATGGATTGACTGTCCTCTGTGTTACAACCACATCACTAGAGAAGGGGTGTTCTTTATGCTACTTTACTCAATTTTCAAAACCCTCCGAGTCATCTATTTCACCCATTTTGTGGATGAGGAAGCGGAGGCTCAGAGAAGTCACTTCTTTGCCCAAAGCCACGCCCACACTGACAATGAAGGAGAGAGCCAGGACTCAAACCAAGCCTGACCGCAAAGCCCAGTTCTGTCCAGCTTGCAAAATTGCAAGAGGTACTTGGATAAAAATCAATGAGTAACAGATGAGACTTTAAAACGAAGCCATGAAAGATAGACTAAGATGTCTAAATTGAGATATTCAAACATTTTTCATTATAATCCTTTTATCTAGGAGCTAATAAATCCCTTTGCAAGGTCTCAAAAATCCGACCACCTAATTTGCTGTAAAGAGGTTTATCTAAGGCCAAAGTGAAATGAATTGACATAGTATGGACAGGGTTAGCAAATGTAAGTGACCAACCTCTCATTCCTTTTTAAGTATTAAAAGTGTTAAATCTAGACTAGAAAACATCTAAGATCATCCATAACCAAGGATAACTTTGGAACAAAAACTTGCCACCAGTGTCATTCACGGTAGAGACTGAAAATGGCAGTGTGGTCTTAACCACAATGTGTTTATGTGGGGGATGTCAGTCTATGTTACCAGCAAATTGTCTGTAGAAGTCAGAGAAGTAAATTGTTTATCTTCATTTATCTCTGAAGTCTATAGTAGAAGAAACCTAATAGCTTTCTTATCTCACCCTTAATGCCCTTAAACACATCAAATTTTATTGCATTCTGTTTTGTTATAAAACAGTTTGATTTATTTACTTCTTCATTTGTTCTTTAAAAAGAATACTCTCAGTGAGTTGTAGTAAAATTCCAAATGGGAGAACTATCCTCAGTATTTTAAAAGCACCATAATTGCCAGGAACATTTATCCCAGTCCAAATGTCTTCATTTTTTTAAAAAAATATTCAATATAATATTTGGAAACTTTAATTCTGATTTGCAAATAGTAAAGTCATTTTATATGGTATCAAATTTTTTTAGCCAATAAGAATCATAACAAGTTGCAAATGTTCTCAAACAGCACAATGAAAAAATGATGTGCCAACTCTAGACTCAGTGCCCAGCGATCTGGTGGTTAGCGCACAGGGGCCTTCACCAAGTATGACACTGTGTATTGTGTCTTCATTACCGGTTGGATTGTTCTGTCATGAAGAGCAACAATAGGTAGCTTCCATTGCAACATAGTAAGATTCTCATCACTAGAAGTGTGCAAAAGGGGACACACTCTCATCATTCTTCCCACAATTCTGAATGTACCCCTTCTGCATGCCTGGTACTAAGCTAAAGTCTGACAGTATAAAGATGAAAATACACAAGTTCCATGCCCATTCATGAGAAGCTCAAAATTAGCAATATAAACAGCGAGATGGGAGAATAACCGAGGAGGAGGTAACATGAAGGGAAGAAAACTTGTACCTGGCGCAGCCTATGTGATCAGAGGATGGATGGCAGGAGGTGTTTCTTGTCCTGAACTCTGAAGCTTAAGTAGCAGTTCTGTAAGGAGAAAAGAAAGGAAAAGTTAAAAATCTTCCGACGAATGGAGAAGAGAATGTGCAGATGTCTACAGAGCATTGCACATTTGGGCTTCTAAAGGAATTCCCCATTCCTAGGGCAGAAGGGTGCATGTGCTTTATGGGTAAGACACATCCAGGGTTGAATCCAGCTTTTATACCTTGACCCAGTCACGCTGAAATGGGAAAATACCATGGAGGGCTGTTGGGAGCCGGGCAGTAATAGGAGTCATGGGAAGCCACTGGTCCAGTTCCTGGCTCATAGCCCGTTTAGCAAGGGCTAGTGAAATGATGAGTTGTGAGTGTGGTTCATGACTAACATGATCATTCATGATGCGCTCATTATTGCTGGTCCCTGTGAACATGAGTTTTCCTGGTTTCAGTCTCAGAGTGTATAGTGGCTGAGCACAGATTCTGGAGTCAGCTTCAGGGATTTACATTCCAGCTGATTTGCTGTGCACCTGGAGCAAGGCACTTACTCCCCTAATCTCCAGACTGCTACTCAACTGTAAAATGTCAAGAGAAGCAGAGCCTACCTCAGAGTGCTTGTGATTACGTGAGATAATGCACAGAAAAGCTCAGCACAGTACTTGGAAGAGCAAGTGATGTAAGCGTACATACGTACCAGTGATGATTTATGCCCTTATGTTACCACTGTCTTCTTCTCCATATTCTTATATACTTTCAAATTATGAAAACTCTAAGAACACTTTTTATGATTTAGTAAATAAAGGGATGAAAAACAGTTCATCCAACCATAACTTTAACCTACCTATCATCTACTATTCTGGGATATTTTCTTACAGTAGCTCTCCTCTCCTGTTCAATCATTGTTCCATTAATAGACTCTTGAAGTCCTAGCTAAAGCACTTTGCACACTGAACTTTGTAGCCTCAAGTCTTCACCAATCATTAGTGCATTAGCAGCGTTTTCCACGTTGTTGATTCACTTCAGAGCTATCATTTCTATGATGACGTGAACACACAGAAAAGAAAGACAGCATAGTTTTCTGAATCACTTTTCTCTCATACATTTGGTTGGTTTTCAGTTTAGCACATAAGGAAGGGTGACAGGAGATGAGGGAACCAAAACACAGATTCTCCTTATGGGCCGTCCTCTTGGCTCTAGGCCACCCAGGGGTAGAAGCAGAAAAAACCTTTAGGAATTGCTTAGGGAAGATTTTTACGCTGGGTATAGTGTCCCTCCTGTGTACTGACTTTGTGTCTTGTGGTTGCTTTTGTTTTAGTATTCTCTGGGCCTCCGATTTGCAGTTCCACGTCTTGAGAAAACAAACGTGAGCATTAACTTCGATCTCCAAATCAGAAGGTTAGAGCTTTCAATGCCGCCTTGTCAACAGCACTCAGGAGCAGAGAGATCCGTAGTGAACTGAAGGCCACTTGTCCAACTCTTTCTTTCGAAATCAAAACCCAGACTCTTAGAGCCCGTGTATGTTTTTGTCTTTGTAAACCAGTTCAGTGTTTTCCATCTTTTTGGTTTTGAGATTATGTTCTGTCAAGCAAGCTATGGGGGAGTCCGATTTTGTTCCGTGCACGAACTCCTCTCTCCCCACCTGTTCCTCCTTTGGAGGTACCTGCCATTTTCCTCTCCCACCCCAGCCACACCCCAGGCTCCCAGCTGCTGTCAGTAATCCCTGAGAACAAAACCTCTGCCCCCAAATGCGTGGAGTTTGCCCTTTCAGTCTTACAGTTGCCTGGATTTTCATGAGTGACTGGGTCTCTGTTGCTTCACTGGGAGCGCCGTGGCCATGGCAGCATGCAGGGGGAGATGGCGCCATCTGAGGAGACTTCTAAGAGTTCATGGAGAATGCCATGAAAGGGTGTTTCTTCTGCTGCAAAATGGTGTTTGACATGCGTGCACGGTGTTTTCGTGACTCACATTTTGCAGGAACTTTTTCTGAAGATCACGTGTGTTGTGGGGCAGGGCCTCCCCTAGCAGCTATAGACTGAACCCTGTAGGTGGCTGCTTCCCCTTCCTGAGGCTGACTCTGTCTAAGGATTCCACGGCAGCTTCAGCCTTTTGCTGTCTCTTCTGTTTGTCCCTGTGTGGTGGAACATAATTGTTCAGGAGCGGGAAAGCCTGCAGGGCAGTGCCCTGGGCTTCCCAGCTGTGGGCTTCAACCCATTAGCCAGGGATGGAATCAATTTTATTACCGTAGACCCATATGAAGACAAAGAAGAATTGAATGGGATGTAATATTCATATAATGTGTAATTAATTAGTGTTGTTGGAGGAACATAGATAAATGTAAATTTGTGTAACAAGATGCCCTGTGAGATGGACATATTTTTTATGGTCTATAGATCACAAAGCTTGAGAAACTCCAATACAGATGTACCTTCTCCCATGCCTACATTCCTTACTCCCAGTTGGTATCACTAAACTCCAAGGACAAAATCCCTTCCAAAAAAAAAAGTACAGACTTTGCATTTGCAAAATTGATATCTCCTAAATTTTCAAGAATGAATGAGACATGCATTCACCAATTTGGGGCTAATCTCTAAATTTCCCTTAATATTTTGCAGAAATAAGGGTCATTAGAATATGGTAACTTTTAGAATAAATACTGTGTCACAGATGACATTTTAATATTCACATCAATAAATGCTTTAGAATGGGGTGGGCTTTGGGGCACAGAGGGTTAAGCCATTGCCTGGGATGCCCACATCCCACACGAGATTGCTGGTTAAAGACCTGGCTCCTCCATTTCCAATCCAGCTTTTTGCCCATGCACCTAGGCAGGCAGTGGATGCTGGCCCAGTACTTGGATCTCTGCCCCCGTGGTGGGAGACCCATTTGGAGTTCTTGGCTCCTGGCTTGGCCCAGCTCCAGCTGTTGCAGGTGTTTAGGTAGTGAACAGCAGATGGATGATTTTAACTTTTAAAATATATATTAAATCATTTTAATTATGTTTTAAAATTATGTATATATACATAAGTATGTGTATATGTATATATATGTGTGTGTGTGTGTGTGTGTGTGTTTTCTGTAAGAATGTAGCAGATTTTTTCAAATGAGACCTGTGTCACAAACCATTCCTCCAGACTTTGTGATACATTTCTAGGGTGGAAGGTTTTCTAACTCACCTTCCTTGTCTTTCCTGACCTTAATTAGGTCTTTCTAAAATTTGACTCAGATATTTCCTGCTGAATCTTAGAAATTTTTTCTATTTTATACAAATTAGTGATAGAATGAATTCATCTCTAATAGTTCCTCTCCATAAATATTTGAAAGGCATAGAGGGCATGACATCTCAAATGATTCAGGTAGTCCTAAATATTTTTGAAATGAAAATATTTAGTTCATATTTTGAAGTTTTCAGAAAAAAAAAAAAACAAGAACACATCATAGTAAAGGATCACCATCACTCCAGCCTGAAGTTTCTAGTGTCTGTGTCACTTGGGGAAAACACATCTCTCTTAAAATGTAACCACCTTTAATTAGAAAGTCTGGCACCAACATGCAAAATAAATGCATTGATATTTCCTGTTTAGTCTTGCTTGCAGTTACAAATAAGAGAATGGATACAACTAGTAGTGCATTCAGGAGGCCAAGGACACTAGATAATCTTCTGAATGCCTTCCCCAAATCCATCATTTACATGAGTTCAGAAATGAAGTTCTGAGGGCAAATAAAAATGGAGACTTTTTAATCATCTTCCTTCATACTAAAAAATTAGTCATGATTATATTCCATTTCTTCCCATAGTTGTTTTAACAGTATTCTAAAAGAACATCAAAGCACAAAAATTCAGGAAGGACTGGAACATACGTAAAATATCAAATTCCCAAAATGCACATTTTAGAGATGAAAAAGATAGAATATTTTAAAATACTTCTATGACTCAAATGCTAAGGTATTTGAGAGGTAGGCATTTATCTACATGTTTTATTGGCAGACTCCAAAGATTTAAATAAGTATTTACATGGATGGTTTTGCATTCAGTTTAAATGCTTTTAAACCAAAAATAAGTTAAATCAAATTATATGAAGTCTAACAGCCAGATCTTGACCACCCTTTACCCCGTTTGATGCCCTGTTCCACAAACAAACCTCAAGAGCGAAATAGGCTTTATAAATTAAGAAACATAAAATATTTCCTGTGATAAATGTTTGCATTAGGTGGTCTCTCTGCGCCCTGGGTCTATCTGATGTAAACAACTTCCTCCCTGGGTAGATGGGCTTTGCAGTTCTCACACACAACCAGATCTTGGTGACTGTCCTTGAAGTTGCTTCCTTGGCAGTGGTAAAATGAACACTGGATTGTCTTTGTTGGCATTCCAAAGACTACAGGGAATAATGGGAATACGAGGAATAGGAAACAGTAAGGAGAAAGAGAAGTACATCAGAGTAATGAAGTGGGAAACATGTTCAGCCTCAGCACATGACACGGGGTTAGACGCAGAGAGGAAATTCATCATTGCTTGCGTAGTTAGCCCCGACAGTATGAATAGCTCAGCATCCAGCAGGGTGATGGATTGCTTGTTTGAACGGGGCAGCGGTGCTAGTGAGGGAGGTGTCCTTCCAGGAAAGAGGTCAGGGAAGCTTCTAAGTTGTACATCAAGCCTGGTTCCTTTCCTAACAGGAGATTTTGTCCATGCCACTGGCAGGCAGTAGTGAGTGTGACAAGTCTGTGTGACAGGTTGATCCTGATTGGTCAATCAGAAGTTCTGAATTCTTGAGACTGCCACTGTTCTCCATGCTACATTTCAAAAACCTAGCATCAATCTCAGCTTTAAAAAATGATTTATGTCTTTACACATCTTTAAGGTGTTGAGAGTACTAACACTTGTGTTATTTAAGACACTCGGAAACAAAACCCAATAGAATTTTGCAATAACTTAAATCAAACTTTTTTTTTTCATGATTCTAATTTCCAGTGCTGCAAAGCAGTAGTGACCTAGAAATAAAACTGTTCGGTTAATCTGTGGAAAAATTAATTTAAATTTCTAAACTAAAGAGTTACCCATATCATTTCCATCACCATAAAATCTGTAGCAAGTATGATTTAGTTGACTTCGTATTGGCTTTGATTTGGAATCCTGCCTTTGAAAAAAAAGAAAGCTTTTTAGCTGCTGATCCTCCACAATGTGATAATAACAAATGCCTTGGAGAGTGGGGCTCACACGTTGGAGAGCAAGTCCCTGCAGCGCAGGCACAAGGTTAGCAGTGGTGCCCATTCCGGGAGACGAGCCTGGGGTCAGCCTGTTTACATCCACAATGTATGTTTGCAATGTATATACGATCAACTTAGATGTTTTAAAAGCAGTATGTGAACAATTCAGTCTCTGCCTATGTATTTATTTGCTTGTTTTGACAGGCAGAGTGGACAGAGAGAGAGAGAGACAGAGAGAAAGGTCTTCCTTTTGCCATTGGTTCACCCTCCAATGGCTGCCGCGGCCAGCGCGCTGCGGCCAGCGCACCGCGCCTATCCAAAGGCAGGAGCCAGGTGCTTCTCCTGGTCTCCCATGGGGTGCAGGGCCCAAGCACTTGGGCCATCCTCCACTGCACTCCCGGGCCACAGCAGAGAGCTGAACTGGAAGAGGGGCAACCAGGACAGAATCCGGCGCCCCGACCGGGACTAGAACCCAGTGTGCCGACGCTGCAGGCGGATGATTAGCCAAGTGAGCCAGGGCGCCGCCCCTCTGCCTTCTTTCAAAGCATCCTTCTATCATATAGCCTTTCCAGTTCCTGCTTTTGGAACATCTTGCAAGCTGGTGGAACCTACCCCACTAGCATCGTCACAGGATTTGAGCTTGCTTGGCGAGTTCGGGAGAGGGTCAGTGATGAAGAAACAGGAGGCTTTCCCTCCTTCCGCAGACTTGACTGTAAACGTGGCCCCACCAGCGGTGATGTGGCCACATCTCAGGTTCCTAGAAGTCACCTAATGCTTTGGACGATGTCAATGAGAGCACAGTAGGGCAATGAATGCTGAGAGAGCTGCATCTGAAACTCAATGACTGGTTGAGCCTCTACTGGGGCCAGGTTTCATGTGCCTGACAGCACGGACTGCTTAACACATGCATTTTTAAAAAGTTAAGCTTCCTATCTAATTATATTTGCTCGAGTGAAATAACTGTGCCCTTGTCAAAGAAAGCACGCAGGAAGCAGGCCTCCACCTTCCCGCTTGATGTCTTTCTCAGGCTCCTGGATCCTCTCCTGTTACCTGCTCTTGAACTGCCCAGCTTCCTTGGGTCTTGCCTCCTCCCACCATCGGCTGAGCTTCTAATTCATTCCCCACTCCTTGCCCTGGTCAGCCAGTGACTATGAAGTGAATGTACACATATTTTAATAGCAATCCAAGAAATAAACTGTAAGGAACATAAGAATGCTGCCAAAACAATGTATGGTATTATGCATTCCAGAGCCAAATGCAGATACTTTTTCGATTATGTGCCGCTCTGGATTATTGATGCCAGTTCCCCTCTTGATTAGCGTGGAAAATCAGGAGTTGACTGTGCTGTCATTTCCTATTTGATGGGCAGCGAACATGATGCACAGCGATGTTAAGGAATTTGTCCAAGGTGGAAGTTGGAAAATGAACTCAGTGCAAGGTCTCTTTAGTTTAGCCATCAAAACAACAACAACAAAAATGTGTTGGCTGCTCTAGGTATCCGTTGTATTTCCAGATGAAATGGAAGGTTGCTTTGTTACCATTGATCATAAAGGTTCTTAGCATTCCCTGTACCAATGCTTACGATTCTGTAGAATAAATATACCACTGCTTTGTGAGTGATCAGGTTAGCTGTGTATGGTACTCTTGTGATATATGGAATGTATTGTGATAATATATATTGTGATAAAACCTCTGAGTTTATTTAAAGTATTTAAATTACTTGTCATTGTCTTTTAGTTCCAACAAGGACAATCCAGACAGCAATCTTGTGAGTTTGCAAATCAACATCACTGCTATAGCTCAAGTAGAAATAAGAGGGTAAGTAATATAAACAAGGGATTGTGGTAGCATAAAAAAGATTCCTGTATGTGAAGAATTGCAACATACTAGTATAAACTAGACGGACTTTTCCTAACGCATAAGAGGTCATAGTTCACTTTGTTTATCAATTTTTATTCTTTTCTACTCAACATTAGCTTCCATTGTAAAGAGAGTAAACCCTGTAAAATGAATTAATTCTTTCTTCCCCAAACTGCCAGTTCAATAATCAAACCATAAGAAGCCAGATGAAATAGACAACCATGATTGCCTGAAAAAATCTCACTCCTCCAGTGATTATTTAGCATAATGACAATTTAGCCCTCACTGTACCACAATCTGAATTTAATAAGAGGCTGACTCTTAGATGTGTGGGCCAATGGAATCCACATTTTCTATCTTGTTCCTTCGGCCCTATTGTTTGAGGAAGGTGCCAGTAAGCAATCAGATGAGAGACAGGAAAAAAGTGGTCAAGGAAAAAGGGTTGGAATGACTACCAGCTGGAAAGTCCATGCCTGGGAGGGGAAAGAAATGAGAAAAGGATTGCATGTAGTTCTTATCTTGCACAAATGTGGACTTCTGGGATGCTGTTAGTACAATTCTGGTTTTTCCAGTACAATCAAGGACTTGGCTAAAAATGTCTACTGGTGTTTCGGACCAAATATCCTTGGGGTTCCAGAAGTCCTGGTTCCGTTCCATTCCCAAAGGGCTTGAGTGGCTCACATTCCTCCATGACCACAACTGGATTTCTACATGCAGGGCTGCTGTCACTATGGGCTCCCTTACCCATCCCGATGCTCTCCCTGGGGCCCTGCCCTGCTGTCCTGGAGCCCCGGAAGCTTCCCCTACTGGACTAAAAAAATAAGAAGAATGCCTCACATCTGGTGTTTTCAATGTGCTCCCTCATGTAATCAGTCCTTGTGCAAGTGCAAGAACTGTGGCCCAGAGAGTTGCAGATTACACGGCTAGAAAACAGGGAACTATAAAGTAAATAGAACTGCTTCCTGTCTGCAGACTCCTGCTCAGAAGTGATCATGCCATCTGCCATGAGATCGTCTTTTGATCCTTATCCACTTAAAATTTCACATATGCATCTGTGATTTTTTTTATTCAAACAAGTATTTTTGAGATTCATTTATTTTAGTGCATGTGCCTGTAGTTCATTCAGTTTAATGACAGGAGAGAATTACAGGGGCTGGTGCTGTGGTGTAGGGGGTAAAGCCACTGCCTGCAGTGCCTGCATCCCTTATGGGCGCTGGCTCGAGACCTGGCTGTTCTGCTTCTGATCCAGCTCTCTGCTGTGGCCTGGGAAAGCGGTAGAAGATGGCCCAAGTCCTTGGGCCCCTGCACCTGTGTGGGAGACCCAGAAGAAGCTTCTGGCTCCTGGGTTTGGATCAGTACAGGTCCGGCCATTGCAGCTGTTACTAAAAAATACCAAACTCTTTTTCAAAATAGTCATGCCGAATTACTCTTCTGTGAGAAGTAGGTGGGTTTCCATTGCTCCGCATTATCTAATAACTCTCAAAATGGTCCAGTTTTTAAGTTTGATCCAGTTTGATGGATAAGAATTAGTGTATTTGATTTTCACTTCTCTAAATCCTAAATGAGATTAAACAGCTTTATAAAATACATTTGTTGACTCTCCATTCTTCCTAATTGGGAAAAATTTCACTTTTTTATTTTTTGTACATACGTTACTGACAGGATTGGCTTTTTCTTGTTAGTACATAGAAGTTCTTTTATATTCTAGTATTTAGACAGTAAACCAATATTAATTACTCACATTGCAAATATCTTTTCATAGCTCACAGAGTTTGAAGAGCTTTTTTTTTTATTTTTTAAGTCAGGTTTAGGCTGGATGTTGGCATCCCATACTGGAGTGCTAGTTGAAGTCCCAGCTGCTCTGATTCCAATCCAGGTCCCTGCTAATGTGACTGGAAGACAGCCCAAGAACTTGAATTCCTGCCACCCACTGTAGAGACCCAGATGGAATTCCTGGCTGCTGGCTTCGGTCTGGCCCAGACTTGGTTATTGCAGCCTTTGGGGAAGTGAACCAAATGGCACGTGCGCTCTCTCTCTCTCTACCCCCCCATCCCCTCTCTCTGTTTCTGTCAATCTGCCTTTCAAATAAATAAATCAATTTTAAGGTCAGGTTTATTGAGGAATATATTACATTAAATAAAATTCACCTTTTGAGATGTCCAGTTTGAAGAGTGATGATACCACAGGAATATTCAGCAGAGAGCAGTAGCCTCACCCTAAGTAATTACTTGGGGCTCCTTTGTAGTGAACCCTTCTACCACCCCAGACTCCAGCGACCCTGATCTATTTTCTGTCACTGAAGATTTGCCTTCTCCAGGACATCATCTTCTAGTTTTCCTTTGCTTAGTGGCTAGTGATGCTGGGCATCTCTTTAGTGCTACATCGTCATCAGTATCTCTTTTCTGGTGAAGTGTCTTTCAAATCTTACTATTGGACTTTTGTCTTTATATGATAAAGGTTCTTTCATAATCTGCTTATGAAATGATTTATCAGATATGCATCTTCCCACTATTTTCTTCCAGTCAATGGTCTAAACGTTTTGTATTTTCTTAATTGTGTTGTTGAAAGAGCAAAAGTCTAAAATTTTGATGAAATTTAATTAATCTTTTATGGTGTGTACGTTGTTTGTCCTAAGGAATATTTGCCTTTCCAGTGTTACAAAGATTTTCTCCAGGAAATTTTTTTCTTTTTTTTTTTTTTTTTTTTTTGACAGGCAGAGTGGACAGTGAGAGAGAGAGACAGAGAGAAAGGTCTTCCTTTGCCGTTGGTTCACCCTCCAATGGCCGCCACGGCCGGCGCGCTGCGGCCGGCGCACCGCGCTGATCCGATGGCAGGAGCCAGGAGCCAGGTGCTTCTCCTGGTCTCCCATGGGGTGCAGGGCCCAAGCACCTGGGCCATCCTCCACTGCACTCCCTGGCCACAGCAGAGGGCTGGCCTGGAAGAGGGGCAACCGGGACAGAATCCGGCGCCCCGACCGGGACTAGAACCCGGTGTGCCGGCGCCGCTAGGCGGAGGATTAGCCTAGTGAGCCGCGGCGCCGGCCCTTCTCCAGGAAATTTTATAATTTTAGGTTTTACATTTAGGTCAAGATTAATTTTAAATTACATTTTACATTTGGTGTTGAGGTAAGAGCCTGTGTTCATTTTGCTGTGCCATTTGAGGAAAAGACGACCATTTTCCTCACTGAATTCCTTTGATACTGTTGTTGAAAAACCAGCTGCTCATATCTGAAAGTTAATTTCTTGATTTCCTATCCTGCTTTGGGGATCTATATGTACAAATCTTGAAATGCAGAGATGTATCTGAGATACAAACTCACAAGCTGTAGTAGCTATTTTGTTTGTTGATTTCCTATGTAATTATTATGTTGTCTGTGGATGAAGACACTTTGTGTTTCTTGCTTTCCAATCTATGTGTGCAAAAGTTTGGCCCGCTAGAATGTTAGACCACCCTCACTTCTGCACCAACTGCAGCTTCAAGTGGTTCTCAAAATCAACGCCAGCCAAAAATTCACAAGAACGACTTGCAGAAGCCACTGAACACTATTATACTCACAGTTACAGTTTACTACACAGAAAAGATTCAGAGTACGATCAGCCAAGGGAAGTGGTACATAAGGTGGAATACAGAGACTTGCCAAAAACAGGGCTTCCGCTGAGATCTGCTGTGATGTTAGGACATGCTGTGTTCCTGGTGTGGATGTGTGACAATATCTATAGCCTGCACCAACTAGGGAAGCTCCTGCCCGCCTTGGTGCTCACTGGGGCTCCGTTGCACCAGCATGACTGATTATCAGTCCATATGACTGATCTTACTTTCCAGCGTGGATGCTGTGATGTACCCAAGGTTCCGTCCCGAAGCACGCCGTCCGTCTCTCTGGGGTGGACAACACCAACCTTAAATCATATCGTTAGAATATCTATTGTGACCCAAGACCCCGGGCCAACAAAGGCATTCCTAACAGGCATAAAGTTCTGAGAGCTTGGAGAATATGCCCCCAGAAAGCGGAGACAAAAGCAAGGCCTCTTCTTGGGAAAGGTTAAATTATTTGTTACACATACTTAACATTTCTTGTTCTTATTTATTTTTCTTGCCTTATTGCACGGACTAGGACTGTCAATGCCAGACTGACTAGAAATGGTGAGAGCAGAGATCTTTGCCTTGTTTTCAATCTCAACATCATTTAATCTTTTACCATTAAGTTTAGTGTTTATTACAGGGTGTTTGCAGATGTCCATTGTCAAGTTAAGAGTGTTCCTTTTTATTTCTAGTTTTCTTGAGAACTTAACATAATTATGTGTTCAGTTTTGACAAATACTTTTTTCTGTGCCTATGAACATGATTAAGTAGTTTTCCCTCTTTTGTCCATTAAAATGGTCAATGGATTAATTTTTGGTTTTGAATTTCAAGCCAAACTTTCATTCTGGATAAGAAGCATAGCTAGTCATGACGATTATCCTTTTTGTACATTCTGGTATTCCATTTGCTAAAATTTTGTTTGTGACTTTGGAGTCTGTTTATGAGAAGTATTGATTGGTGGTTTTCTTACAATGTCCTTTTCTGCTTTGGGTGCCTGAAGAATACTGGCCCCATAAAATAAGCTGGGAGCATTTCTCCCTGTGCTGTATGCTCTGGGAAAGTTTGTGTAGAATTGATCTCATCTCTTCCTTAAATATTTGGTTAAATTCACCAGTGAAGCTGTCTGAGTCTGGAGTTTGGGGGATGTTTTTATAGGAAGGTCATTAGGTAGAAGGCTCTTCATATTATCTATTTCTACTCTATTGGGCTTTAGTAGTTTTTCATTCAAGAAATTTGTCTGTTTCATCTAAGTTGTGTGTAGGACCATAAATCATAATGTTAATAATGTTTTCTCATTTTCCTTTTAACATCTATAGAAGATTTCTAATGATATCCCCTCCATTGTTTTGCTACTGACAATTTGTATCTTTCCTTTTTTT